TGGCCAGGGTTGAGAAACGCTGGTCTAAATGAAGTAATGCTATTATATAACTTATTTGCAGAACATTGACCTTCCCCTCAATATAAAGAATGCATTCCTAGACAAAATACAGGCTAATCAGAGAGAAATGTGCATTCTTCCAACCCTAGTTTGAAAGTTCTCTGAAATTTCAGCTATTTTTTCATTTAAAGCAAAGTTGTTTTGCTTGGTGGTCCAAACACTTCTGGCTGTATGAGTTTTCTCCTACTTCTCCAAATTAATGTGTGCTTTGGTCTAAACAGGAGTGGCTAAGTTCATGTTTGTTAAATTAAGATTCTGTCATTTGCACGTGCAATCAAAGCACTGGCTGTAGGTGAGTTTGTGCTGGTGTCTCTTTTGAACTATTGGGAATAACAGTTCCTTTACCTTGAAAATGCTGGATTATGATTGTATAGAATTGTAACATATTTTATTCTGCATGCAAGTTAAGATGCTGTTGGAGTGGAGGAATTGTCTGTTTGAGAAAAATTAAGATTCATAGCAAACATGTTTATGTTTCCAGTTAATTTCAGGGACTTGTATAAGAGACATCTAGCTTCCATGTATTTCTTTTGTGATGCTTGTTAAATTTGTCACTGGAATTATAATGTAGAGAAAGAGGCCTAAATAAGGTATGAAAAGGAAATAAAATGGTGATATTCTGATTTATTTATTTATGACAGGGATCTATTTTTTTTTCCATTTTATGTGCAGGCAGAGTCTAGACTGAGAACAGTGTATGTTTGACTTGGGTAAAGAATAAAATTAATTCTTATAGTTTGACAAAGCAAGGGAGATTTAAGCAGTCAATACTCCCTGCCCACCTGCCCCCGCATTCAATGGGGTTAATATTTGAAGAGACATGCATAGACTTATATATGCCTGGATTTATCTTTGTGCCAAGCCATTTATTGAATATTTATTGAATAACCCACAATGGGCTGAGTTCACGTGACATATTAAACTTAAACATCATTTACAGGGCACATATGCTCACACAATTTACTGAGCTGAAACAAAACCAACCATCTTGTTTATTTAGTGAGGTGTGGCAGCATTTCAAAGATAAAATAATAATTAATTATTATTCTGTGTTTTTTTAAAGGAGCTTGTGCTGTAGAATCGTGACTGGTGGTGGTGGCGTTGACTACCTTGATTCTCTTAATCAGCTGAATTCCCACAGCATGCTAAACTATAATAATTGTGTTTTTTTTTTAAATACTGGCTTAGTGTGGCATGCAAGATCAACCATTCTGGCCTAGTGTTATGTTCATATCAAACCATTTTGACTTCAATAACCCATGGTTTAAAAACAATAGCTTAGCATGAAGTGTGAATTCAGTTTATAGCTGACAAGAAGCAAAACTCATCATCATCCGATCTAGTTTTAGGCAACTTCATATATCCCTAACACAGAAGACAGGAGAGTTAGAATTTGTCTCTTAATGGTATTTATGGAAATCAGTGAATGTCCATGACAAGGATGAGAAGAATTTTATTCACTTCCAAACTGTGGGTCGGAAAAGAGAGGATTATGCCTAAGCATTATTTATTTAAAAAAAAAGGCTTTCCAACTTTATGTCTTAATGATTTGTGACATTGTAAACCGTATTTCTTCAA